TTTTTGTTCCCCACAAAATGGTCCTTCATTTATATCCCCCTTCTTCGTTTACTTTTGTCAGAGATGGGTATTCCATTGCCATTCATATATTGTAGGTTGAGTGATAATAGTGATATCTGTGAACCTATATTTATAGCAGCACAATTTCTAATAGACAAATCTTGGCAGCAACCAAAATGCCCATCACCTGAGGAATGGATGAAAAAGATGTGGCATTTTAAAACATTTTTTGAGTGATGTATGCCAAGGCATCATGTGTGATTTTTGGCTAGTTTCAGATCTCACAGAGTCTGCGATCTTGTCTGGCAGACAGGAGAAGGTCACAAGAGAGCAGCATGATCTCTTAGTGAGACAGATGGGTTAGTGAGGTAGATGGTAAATAGATTGTTATGGACATATACAGACCTATATGTTTCTTTTAGCTTTCTCATAGATTTGCTTTACATGTTTAATAACAACTCCCCCCTTTGTGTGCTCTTTTCCTTGCATTAGACTGTGATTCGGCTGCGGGGCTGTTCTATTTCTCCTCCTAGAGAATCTATGAGGGAAACAATGACTCGTGCCCTGATACGGAAGTCTCATTCTTATTTCTTAGAAAGATTGGGGATTTGGATACTTGGTTCATGCCACCGTTGCACTCAATTTTTTTTTAGATCTTTTATGTTTGCATGAATAGATAGGATTCATGTGTATATGCCGGATAAATTATACTGCCTCTAGTTGACTGTCTCATGAAGAACTGAGGAACAATGAGATGAAGGTGAAAATAATTGGACAAGTTAAAATGTTGCCAAAGTCAGGGATAGGGAGATATCTTGATGTCTAAGTGTCTGCCTGGTAAGTACAAGGACCTGAGTTTGATCTGGGTACTGCATGCTGTGCAGGCTCTGGAACCCCAGGCATGCCAAGCCAGCCACCAAACCTGGGCATGGTGGTGCATGCCTGTAATCCCAACGCCGGGGAGGCTGAAACAGGAGGATCACTATGAGTCCAAGCTGCATAGTGAGACCATGTACCAAATAAATTAAAGAAAAATTAGTGTTACCAAGGTCATAATGATTCAGCCTGACCTTAAGAAGTATCCATCTCATTGATTCGTTGATATGTCTGGTCGGCAGTGCTAAGCTCTCTAGGATACATTCTGCCCGACACAAAGAACAAAGCCATGTGCACACTGGGGCTCCTTTCTCTGGGAGAACCATGTTCTTGCAAAAACCAGACACTCTGGCTTTGTTTCTCCACAGATCCAGAAAGCTCTTTAGCTCCAGAGTCAGAGATCCCTTTCTCCCTCGTCCCAGAGAGCGTGCGGCTGTCAGGTGGCCCTGGACGCTGTGCTGGGCGAGTGGAGGTGCGGCATGCGAGCCGGTGGAGCACGGTGTGCAAAGCGGGCTGGGGCCTCCCGGCTGCGAAAGTGCTGTGTCGGCAGCTGGGCTGCGGGAGGGCCCTGATGGCCGTAGGCCAATGCAGCAGCTCTGTCGAGGGGCGAGGATCTATCTGGATGAGCAAGATGAAATGCTCAGGAAAAGAAGCAACCATTCAGGATTGCACTTCCGGGCCTCTGAAGGACAACTGTACCCACTATGACGACACGTGGGTGGAATGTGAAGGTAAGGGAAGGTGATGCTTCCTTATCCACACACTAGGCTCACTATGGAAATGGCTACTAAATGGAATCTCGCTCAAGTGATTCATACAACGACTCATGCACCAACGGACCAGCCAGGAAAAGTTACTTAGTTATGTAGACTCAGATGTCTGAGTTTTTAAAAGGGTATAGTAGCAACTATCTTCAAGATGTGTTATCTACATGTACCAACTCCCTTTGATAAATATAATTATTCTGTTGTGCAAGTATGAGCTAATAAAAATGATTTATAAAATAGATGGGAAGGCAAAAAGGTCCTAGAAACAGATCCAGGCTGGAGAAGTTAGAACGTGATGAAGACCTAGAGTTGGAGCTTCAGTCATAGAAACACAGTGGAGGAACGTGTTGTTGGGTTTTGTGTGAGGGTATCGATAGTTGTATCTTTTCTCCTTTTCACCTCTTTCTCCATCTTCCAGATGCCATTCAGCTGAAGCTTGTAGGAGGAGACGGCATTTGCTCTGGGCGGTTGGAGGTGTGGCACAAGAAAAAATGGGGCACTGTCTGCGATGATAGTTGGGGAGCAAAGGAAGACCAGGTGGTATGCAAACAGCTGGGCTGTGGGAAGCCCCTTATCTCACCCTCTAGGAAGAGATATGGTCCTGGAGTTGGCCGCATCTGGCTGGATGATGTTCGTTGCTCAGGGAAGGAGCAGTCTCTCGACCAGTGCAAGCACAGGTTTTGGGGGTATCATGACTGTGACCATACGGAAGACGTAGGTGTGACCTGCTCAGGTAAGCCCTACTGGTGGAGTTCACAAGAGCTGGCACGGGGGATGCTGGTGGGAGAGAGGGTGGTGAGAGTGAAACTGGATACAAGGGTAGCTACCAGTGTCAGAGCCTGCCATAACCATTTTCTGCTTCTTGTGTATGTCCAGCAATAGGCCTAAGGAATTCTAGTAGAGATTCCCCCCAAACCCCAGAGGAATTTATAGGTAGATAATAAACAACATACAGTTAATCACTGTAAGAATAAAAGGAGTTTTGATAACTATTTGATCAATGTCTTTATATTAATTTTTTTTTTAATTTTATTTACTTATGTGTGTGTGTGTGTGTGTGTGTGGCCAGCTCAGTCCACCAGGGGGCGGGCTGGCTGGCATGTGGTGCTGGGGGATTGAACCGTGGTCCCTGGGCTTTGCTAAGCTTGTTCTAAGTAGGTGCTTTAGACCACTGAGCCATCTCACCAGCCCCAATGTCTTTATATTAAACATAAAAAGAGCAAGATTCAGAGAAAACAAGTTAGTTTCCCAAACTATAAAGCTTGCCTTCAAGTCATATACCAGAACTATAAAGATCAGTCTTTATTTTCATTCCAGGTTTAGTTTTCTTAGGTGACCTTCAAGCCCTTAGTTTATCACTCCTCAGGATTTATTCTCAGTGTGTGTGGGCTATGGGAGGGAGATCTTTGAGAATGACTGGGAGAGTCTGATCAAAGAGAACAGGCTATCACCCTGAACTTTACACTTATTCAGGGGCATAGAGGAAGGACACCCCTCTCAACTTGAGCCAGGAAGTCTAAGCATGGCTCCCGAAAGGCTGACTCAGGGAAGCTACAGGCTTGAAGCCCAGACATGGAATCAGGGTGGGGCTGTTTGTGCAGGGCTCTTTGGTTAAGCAACCAACTGGTATACAACTAACTGATAACTGACAGAAACTGATATTTAGCTAAAAGACATGCAAACAATTAATGTCCAGAAAAGGATACAATTAGTGGTCAGAGACCAGGTTTTGAAGCATGTTGCTGCGTCTTTGAAGCTGTATAATCTTACGTCATTACTTAACTACTCTGAATCTCAACATTTTCATCTGTGAAATAGGAAGATGGTTGTCCCATTTACCTTAACAACTTCTTGAATGTCAGAGGTCAGGACATGAGTTCTGCATCTGTGGAGTCAACCATCCACTTGTTGAAAATAAGTATTTGAAAAAAAAATCACATTTGTATTAAATATGTACTGAATTTTCTCTTGTGATTTTTCTCTTATAAATAAAGTATAACATATTTGCATAGCATTTGCCTTATATTAGGAGACATAGGAGGATGTGTTTGTTACAAATACAGTGTCCCTTTGTACAGGGGACTTGGACATCTGTGCAGTTTTTGGTGTCCTCAAGAGTCCTGGCACCATTTTTCTGTGAATACAGAGGAATGGCTGTCATATTTGTGACTCACACAGGAACTGGTTGAATAAGTTGTTGGCATGCTGAACAGGATTTTGATCCGGCTCACATCCATATGGGGTATGCGTATCTCCTCTGCTATTTCTGATCCTGGACAGCAATCTGCTGCCTTAGTCAATTTAGCTTGAATGGAATAAGTCCTTCCAAGTCTATGCTAAGTCTTAATTCATTTTTCTTTTCTTTTTGCAGAATAGTATCCTGGCCATCATGAGCTTTTCACCTGGCCTCTGTTGGCCCTGCACATCCCCTGGTTCTGCATGTGAGCTCTAATTATCCTAGTGGTGACACTGGGCCCCAGACTTCTGCCACTGCTCCTTCTGCTTCTCAAGAATTTGAATCCTGGACTTAGATCCTGACCTAGCAACAAGAACGACCCCATTGCTGCTGGGAGATATGAGCTGTTGAATTCTCTGGTTGAAGAAAATAAGCTTTGCATTGCTCTTTGCTCATCCTTAATCCCTTGGCATTGCTTGTGGCTCATTTTCTTTTCCCACCTGCCTGCTGTCCCAGTGTCTGCCACTTGGACCAGATTTGTAAGCCATTGTTAAGGCAATAGCTATGTCTATAAACCGCATCAGAGGAAGGAATCCCTCAAAAGAACATTTTAAAGGGCATATGGGTAGGCAAGCTTTTGGAATCTGAGAAAACAGTCTTTTTGAGCTCTTGTTATCAAGCTTTAGCTGGTCATAGCAAATGATAACACCTCCTTACTTTGCTATTTCTTGGGGAATGTGGACGAGTCTTTCAGCCTCAGAGCAATGTCCTTTAGCTCTAGACCTTTGTGTGACATTTAGCAAAAATTGTTTTCCCTCTGAATATTCTAGTAAAATACCTTTGTTTTCCACTTCTGTGCCACCTGCCAACATGGTTGGCATTTAACAAAAGGAATCTCACAAATGCATCTTACTTTAGCCAAAGGAAAAGATATTTGTTAATGAGAAAAGGTCAGAAGAGAGGGAGAAGGAGGCTGGGGAGGGCTACTGTTGTGTCTTACAGTACTCAGAAAGTATCATTTCCATTTTATCAGCAGAGACTTTGGAGCCTGTAAATTTGAGGCAAGATAGAGTGATATTTGGGACAGCATCAAAGTTTAATTGTAAATCTCAACAACTTTAGATTTTGAGGTTAAGCTGACACTGATACTAGGGCTAGGTTTACCCTCTCTAATACACTGAATCTCAAAATCTCACCAGTTGCCTGAATGATATATCTTTTTTGCTTACTGTGAAGCAAATAAGTCAGCTCCTCAGTGAAGAGATTTTGGACAGGATTAGCTAGAAGAGAATCTTCCAGAAAATGCAACCATATGTAGAGAACAGCTCTCCTCCAGATAAGGAAATTCTTCTTATTTCCTATTCTGCTATATGGACCTAATTCTGCCACCCTTGTCCTTATTTTTATAACATAATCTTGTTTTATGTTTAATTACCATGTTTTAATTGTGCTTATTAATGAGGCTGAGTGTGATATTTCAACACATGCATGTAGTATGCGCCGATCAAATCCAATGTCTCTTTATCCACCTTGCCCACCTTTGTCCTTCCCAAACTCTCATAATCACTATTGTACATTTAGGTGTACTTTTGTTCAATTCCCACATGTGAGAAAGAACATGCAATACTTACCTTTCTTTGCTTGGCTTGTGTCATTTAGCCTATTTTCCTCTGCTTAGATCCATTTTCCTGCAGCATTTCATTTTTTATGGCTGGATAAAATACCTATGTTCATAATGCGTATTTTCTTTATTCACTCATTTGTGGAGGGTCACCTAGGTTGATTCCATATCTCAGCTGTTGTAGCAGCTCAGATGACTGCTAGCATTTTTCTTAGCAACAAAATCTTTTTATTAACGCATGTACATTTTTTAGACATAATGGCATCTCACACTTAATAGGCCATAGTGCAGTACAAACATAACCTTTATGAGACTGATGTGCTACCTACTGCATGAATGGAACACCTATAAATACAACTTTTATATGTGCTGGGAAACCAAGAAAATTCATATGACTCTATTGTGATATTTGCTTTATTGCTATGGCCAGAAACGGATCACTCAATATTGCTGAAGTATGCCTGTCCCCTTTCCTCTAATAGCCCTTTCAGCCACAGGGGCTTTTTGTGTCTTCCTAGACACTATGCTCACTTACCTCTAGTAAGTCTTCCAGAGGAGTAGGTTTGGGGAGAGACACCGTCAGGAGCTATGCTGAACCTGTTGAGTCTGATACATATTAAACTTCAGCATAGAGAGGTTCTTTATAAGTTTAGTAGAGATCTCTGGCTCAGGAAATATTGTCTGAAAATATGGGTGATATTCAAAGCCATGAGACTCGTGGTTTTGTTACAAGAAAATGAGGTTGAGTAAGAGGAGATTCGAGGACTGGGCCTCAGTGCGCCACACCTTTTAGCTTGGAGTCCTCTGGAACAAGGTCTCAGATGCAAATTGTTTACTGAGTGCTAACACCAGGAAACATTTGTGAAGGCTTCAAAAGTGAGTTAGAAAGGGAAAAAAGCCAATGAAGTAAGATTTAATGAGCTGATTACTGCTATGGGTAACTGGGTCCTTCCCACTGGGAGTTCTGTAATGTGTTGTGTATAAATCATTTCAAAATGAATATGGCCTAAAGTTAAAATGGATTAAAGATCTAAACATTAAAGCAGAGACACTAAATCTCCTGGAAGAGAAAGTAGGTGGAACTCTTGAAGACATAGGGGTAGGCAAAGAGT